ACATTATAACGCCCCACGGCTGAAAGGGCGAGCATGTTTGATGGGACGGGGGTTCGAACCCGCGACCCGCAGATTGCGAGTCGAGCGACCGAACCACCTGGCCATGCCGGGCCGTCTCAGGTGGTATTCAGTATGTTTGATTTCTCACGCAACAGTTTGGATTCATGGTTGTAATTATTTGTCAAGTTTAAAATTTTCACAACAATATATGATTAATTGATGACAAAACCTTGTCGAAACGTTGTACATTTGCTGTTATGTTAAACTTATATTAAAGTTTTTCTTCATTACCCATTCGAGCCGTCTCCAAGCATGATTAATTGTTGTTGTTGTTTTTTTTTTCTAGCTGTGACACGTTGCCCTCGATTGTGTTGTTATTTCTGAAATGATAATGTGGCTCTGAACACGTGGTAACTGATTCTTCAGATAATCCTGTTATAAGAGGTTGTGTAATGATTCTGTTGTTGTAAAATTTCGTTATTTCTGTATTAAGTTTGTGTGTTGCAACTGTTGTTTTCACGGAGTTTTATACTTACGTTGTATTTGTATTTTCAGGGATCAGTCTATTGTCATTGTGACAGTGTATTCAACATTTCGATAGTTACTTTCTGGCTGCAGTTGCAATCATTTTTGTAACTATTTATTTTGTAATAACGTTAATAATATTTTGATTATAATTTTCTCTGATCGACAGGGATGGAGTTTCAGCCTCAGGAATTTACTGCGCAACCTCGTTTTTATTTCAGCAGAAACAACTAGAGAAAGAAATGGACGTTTTTGAGGCCGTGAGAACAATCAGAATAAATAGGCCTAATTTTATTCATTCAGTGGTGAGTCGATCAACTGGATTATGAGTAAATTAAAGCGTAAAGCTGACAAGAAGCACTCTATGTCCCTCAAATTGACCTCAATGTCAGGTTACCAGCTGTAGGTTCTGACACTTGTAAAGATTCGATCTCATTTTTCCACTTAGTTTTTAAACTTATATTATTCGCTAGACTTAGAAGTTTAGAAAATGTCATACGAGACCTTATAAACAACAACTGTAAGATCTACTCTTAGATTACTCTGTTAGTATTTTTCTTCTTAAGCACAAACTCGTTCACCGTAGGGATCGAAACCCGAATTTAGCATTATAAGTTCTCGAGCTTACCGCTGAATCACAAATTTACCAGCCCGGCATGGTCAGGTGGATAAGGCGCTCGACTCGCAATCTGAGGGTCGCGGGTTCGAATCCCCGTCCTACCAAACATGCTTGCCCTTTCAGCCGCGGGGGCGTTATAATGTGACCATTATCACCTTTACCACCTGGCCATTCCAGGCCGTTGCGAAATGGAAAGCATTAATATTCCATTGCTTATATAATTAATGATAATATACAATGAAATTCTTGATAGTTTTTACTGAACAAACCAAAATAAAATACAGTACTGATGTAAAATATTGGCATGTATGTTGACTTTGATAGTTGTGATAAATATTTGTATTAATTGGCATGTATGTTGATTTGATAGTTGTGATAAGTATTTGTATTAATTGGCATGTATGTTGACTTTGATAGTTGTGATAAATATTTGTATTAATTGGCATGTATGTTGATTTGACAGTTGTGATAAATATTTGTATTAATTGGCATGTATGTTGACTTTGATAGTTGTGATAAATATTTGTGTTAATTGGCATGTATGTTGACTTTGATAGTTGTGATAAATATTTGTATTAATTGGCATGTATGTTGACTTTGATATGTTATAGTTGTGATAAGTATTTGTATTCTATTGTTTTCTACAGACAAATTGGTTGGCTGGTTGTTATTAAGTACAAAGCTACATAATGGCCTATCTGTTCTCTGCCCTTCACGGGTATCAAAATCTGATTTTTAGCGTTGTAAGTCTGCAGATTTATTGCTGAGCCACTGCGAGGGAAGCTTCAGAGACAAAAATCGTTAGGAACAGTAATCTCGAAGATTACCATATTTTTACGCAAAAGTTCTCGCAAATGTTCTCAAATAGAATCAGTTTTCTCTAGAAAAAGTTTGAAAATCGTATTTGCATGTTTCAAAGGAAAATTAACTTTTATTAAAAAAATATAACAAGTCGAAAGATATTTCTATTTCTTATTTAACTAACATGATGATACCATTTCCTTTTTTTCCCCATGAATTTTAACATTTCTTTTTTTTAAGCTCACGTAAAGTTACATCCCATACAAAAGTTAAATTACCAATTATAAAAATGATTAATTTCGTAGAGGAGCTACCTTATGAATGATTTAGTTCGATTCATTTCATAGCCCACATTGGTTGATTAGTTGATATAATCAAGTTTGATCTGGATCACAATTATTCTAAGTATTCATAGTCATTACCAGATACCAGTCATTGCGAACTATGTCATAGGAACCAATAATAATAATAATGACCTCTAACATGAACACAGTAATCATGAACTATGTGATGAAATTCAATAATGATGAACTATGAGTTGAACCCAGTAATCATGAAATATACCACAAGATTCGATAATAATGAGCTGTGTCGTGAGGTTTATTAATAATAAATTATGACCTGAACCTAGTAATCACGAACTATGTCATAAGATTCATTAATAACGAACTATGAATTGAGCCCAGTAATCATTAACTATGCCATAAGATTCATTAATAACGAACTATGAATTGAGCCCAGTAATCATTAACTATGCCATAAGATTCATTAATAACGAACTATGAATTGAGCCCAGTAATCATTAACTATGTCATAAGATTCATTGATAATGAATTATGACCAGAAACTAATGTGCTCTATCTATGAAGGATTAAATATTTGATATCATTAAAAATATTGTTAATTTCTAATTCTGGGCCAAGTTTTATGTTTTATATAAATTCAACATGATGATGTTAAAAAAGTCTTTATTTACCATCCCTTATAGGAACAATATCGGTGGGTGTATGAAGTCGCTTGTGGTTTCGGACGTGTTAAACCCCCATATTGACTGAACCAAGAGACACGTTAAAGCACAAAAATATTTATTTTATGTTGAAGCCGGATATTTTATTTCATTTTTTATGGATTATTTTGTAACAGGTTATTTAGTGTTTAAAACAATTGTTTTCATTTAAAATAACTTTTCAAGAAATACTGGTGTTAAAAGTGTTAAATAAATCTTAACAATGGCTCATTATTAATCTTCAAATATATATATATATATTTTTGTTGAACTAGATTCATTAATGACCTTTTATTTTGTTATAAATTGAATTTTGTAAAGATTTCACAGGTTGTTAAGTAGTTGTTGTTTTTTTGTGATTTTTAACATATTGACCTAAAATTAAAATTAAAATATTGACCTAACGTTAACATGATTATTTCTACTAAACTACATCAGTTTGACTGAGCTGATTAAATTCTTAGATAAAATATAAAATCAAAATTGAATTGTTGTTTTTATATCGTATTTGTAAAGAATATTATTAAATAATGAACTTTATAGTTAAAAATCTGCCTGTTTGTCTATTCGTCTTTATAAATTATTTTGCTAAGACGCTGAAATATTAAATGTGCTGTGTGTTAAACGCCATCTATCGGTCATTATGAATTATTTTGTTGAGAGACTGAGATGTTAAGTATGCTGTGTGTTAAATGCCATCTATCGGTCATTATTAATTATTTTGGTAAGAGGCTGAGATATTAAATGTGCTGTGTGTTAAATGCCATCTATCGTTCGTTATGAATTATTTTGTTGAGAGACTGAGATATTAAGTGTGCTGTGTGTTAAATGCCATCTATTCGTCTTTATAAATTGTTTTGCTAAGACGCTGAATATTAAATGTGCTGTGTGTTAAACGCCATCTATCGGTCATTATGAATTATTTTGTTGAGAGACTGAGATGTTAAGTATGCTGTGTGTTAAATGCCATCTATCGGTCATTATTAATTATTTTGGTAAGAGGCTGAGATATTAAATGTGCTGTGTGTTAAATGCCATCTATCGTTCGTTATGAATTATTTTGTTGAGAGACTGAGATATTAAGTGTGCTGTGTGTTAAATGCCATCTATCGGTCGTTATGAATTATTTTGTTGAGAGGCTGAGATATTAAGTGTGCTGTGTGTTAAATGCCATCTATCGGTCATTATGAATTATTTTGTTAAGAGGCCGAGATATTATATGTGCTGCGTGTTTAATGCCAATGTGGATTTTATTTTTCACTAAAACTCTCATTTCTAAAGCATTTATGCGACGTGTAAGATTTTTCTTTTCTCTTTTTCCTCACTTTGTTTCGTATCACTTATTACAATTCAAAGCTTGTCTGTTAAATTGAAATTATTACTTTTGTGCGCTCTAATATACTTTCCGTTTTCATTTCAAAATATAAACGTTACAGTGTTATAAAACATTGTTTTAAATAAAATAATGATAAATATTTTAAGTTAGCCAGCATTTTCATTAATTATGAAATTCATAAATCGAAGTCAACGGCAGTTTGTTAATATATACATTTTTGGCTTGCACTTTCTTGGATAAGTCCAAGATTGTATGTATTTCATGTAATTAATTGACTACAGAATTAGGAATAGGACAAATGAAGAAGTGTAGTCACGGTGTGATAGTCATATACACTGATATCTAATAGATAAGTCTATAATTATCTACAAAATGCAGGTTTAGGGAATGTTATACAAAGAATATATCGAAAACCAAAGGAAAAACAAATGAACAAAATCTTTATTCACACTAAGGTTTGTTAATTTACCAAACTAGCCCGCCTCTTAAGTCCTATTGTGACTTCACTTGTTTGTGCCCTACATAGGCGAATGAACCTTTTCAAATACATATGCACCAAACAAGGCCAGAAAGAATTACCGCACATTTAAATGAGATAAAATATAGTATTCCATAATCCAAAGCTGCGTAAGTCACCGACTATTCCAAATGATATATACAATGGTTAAACACTCCAACTCATTCCAATTTGTACACGTGTCTGTATCATTCCTTGAGACAGGCTCACTACCCCGTCCCCTTCATGGAGTTGACACAGACACAAGGCCAAAGTGATACAAGCTTTATAGCCATTACTGCATGTAACCTTATTTGAGTAAAAGGATATTTGTTTGTAGTTAAGCACAAAACTACACAATGGGCTATCTGTGCTATGCCCACCACGAGAATCGAAACCCAGTTTCTAGCATTGTAAGTCCGCAGACATACTGCTGTGCCACTGGGAGGCAAGTAAAAGGATTAGCACATGTTTACTACATGTTGATATCTGGTTAACGAGAACGTCATAACTGCATGCAAAAAAAAAAAAACCTGAACGAAAATTTAGAAAAGTACTTGAATAAAAAAATAATTATATGAATACACGACAATTTATTGGTATAATGTTAAAAGCAAAAAAATATAAGGTCAAAAACTATATGTTTCGGTGAAATATGCTCCACCTTAGAAAAGATACATTCTAAACTACTTATGGAGTGGTGAGATTATTAAACATTTCAGATACGATCGAAGCATTTAAATCAAAGTGGTCAGGTAACACATGATCGTTTGTTTTTGTTTGTTTGGAATTTCGCGTAAAGCTAAGCGAGGGCCATCTGCGCTAGCCGTCCTTAATTTAGCAGTGAAAGACTAGAGGGAAGACAGCTCATCATCACCCACCTCCAACTCTTGGACTACTCTTTTGCCAACAAATAGTGGGGTTGATCGACACATTATAACGCCCTCACGGCTGAAAGGGCGAGCTTGTTTGGTGGGACGGGGATTCGAACCAGCGACCCTCAGATAACACATGATGTTAGTTCACATATTAAGTTAATTAACTTGGTGAGCCGTAAATGTGATCACTAGATAAGCCTAGTAAGGACGATTGAAAAATGTCTGTTTTTCATATCTTGAGGTAACGATTTGTCTAGTGAAGGGGGGAAACCAGCGGTAAAAATGTAGTTTTTACGTGTGTTGAATATTCACTGACTTGCCTGTTAGGAATGGAACGAGTTAATAGCTTTAGAAATATCCCCAATCTACAAGAACTAATTACATTTTCACTTGGTGTTCTGCAAAATAAGATTGTGACTTTTAAAAATTCATCTATAAACAATTGTCGTTGTCAGTGACACAAAGAAGGCGACGTTGACATATCTGAGTAGGTTTGTTTCATCTATAAACAATTGTCGTTATCAGTGACACAAAGAAGGCGACGTTGACATATCTGAGTAGGTTTGTTTCATCTATAAACAATTGTCGTTGTCAGTGACACAAAGAAGGCGACGTTGACATATCTGAGTAGGTTTGTTTCATCTATAAACATTGTCGTTGTCAGTGACACAAAGAAGGCGACGTTGACATATCTGAGTTAGG